GTTTTATGTATGGAAACCCCATGTATTCAGACGCAAACAGTTTTTGAGTTCAAACGCACCAGTATGGAGACGAATAGACGTTTTATGCGGATAATTATCAAACTAGTGCTTCAGCATTCGGAATTCATCAACTTCCTGCTCCAATCGAAAATGTTTAATTTCGTTGAATGCCAACCGATAAAGAGCAAGAAATTGCATTCGCTAATTAAGACGTGTCGGCATAGAGCTTTGAGGATGCAGCTATGCCTGAAGGATACAATCGATTTCAGTTTTTCAGCAACACCTTTGAAATGCAAATGCAGTTAATTGCTTCGATAGATGCAATTCCGAGTGTTTGCGTTAATGGATTTCTTGCTCGTCACGCTTCTTAATATATAAAAGTAGGTATTTATTTTGCCCAAGATTATTTTTCAAAATAACTTCTAGGATCAACAGAAATTATGCAAGTGTGCACATCCAAAAACAAAGTGTCTTTCACTAATTCACTTTTGAGTAAAAAATTACCTTGAGAGTTTGAATTCATCTGTAAACTCAACATTACCTCTGGCTGAAATATTGTTCATCTAGTGGTTTTGGTTGTGACAAAAATAAAGGTGCCATTTTCGAACAGTAAATGCTCGACCATTAAACATGTAATCGTAGTTATTATTTTATAAATATAATATGACTAGGCTTTTATATATAATGGCAAATGAGCGGCTCATTATGTTTTGAAATTTATTTCCCGTTGTTGACCAATAAACACAATAGGAGCTGCGGAAAATCTAACCAAACAATACATATTAAATTATATTGTTTTTAATGTTGAGTTTGAAACAACTACAATCAGCGAACATGTTCATTGTATTACATGTCATGGACGTTTTCAATTGGCTTTTGAAACATACAATTGTAAAAAAAGAACATCTACTTGTAGAGTTTACAATTTACATATTAATTAATATGTACATATAATTCAAAAAATATGTTTACATATTTCATATATGAAACACAACACACACCCTTTAATAATGATAATAAGAATGCATTTTGAGCGTTATGATCAGGGACCCGGACCGAAACCGGTTATTTTCTGTCTTTTTTTCGGTATAGCTTGTAATGTTTGAAAGAAATTCTTTCTTGGGTTACTGATGATTTCTAGGAAATTTCCCCCGCGATAATTAAAAATTAAAACGAATTTTCGATTCAAAGACGGTTAGGGGGAATGTCAAAATATATAATTCGATAAGGAAAAACAATAATTTAGATTGTCTAACACTTTCAACGTTAACAATCTTTTAATCTAACACTATTCGTGATTAATAAGTTTTTTGTGGTTAGTAGTTGTTGGTTATAACAGTTTTTATGGCTACTGGCAAGAATGCAAGAAAACTGAGTCTTCCTTTGCAGCAGTTATCTGCAGGAAAATGGAGGAAGATAAGTTACGCTCTAATTAATGAAGTGATCCTGGCTAGGATATTTTTGAACCCTTGGTATAAAGTAGTTTTAGACGACAATCAAGTAGAAAGAGCAAAAGAACTTTTAAAGTCGCTATGGACTAGACTGATGTTGCAGATTGCAGATGGAAAAAAGTGAAATTATTGCAATTCTGAGTCTGACTCTGACCAACACGATATGGAAACAAAATCATCTGGTTTTTCATTAAGCGATGAAATGAAAGCTTTTTTAAGGCATACCGATTCCGAGCAAAGGAATTAATCAGGACGAATTTTTTTCACATGGTTCATTTATAACCCTTAACAAAATTGAAATTATTATAATTCCTATAAAGTGGATCAAAAAACAAGGACAAGCTTAATCCCGAGTTATACATGTTTGCTCAAGTACTAATAAGCGTCTACGACGTCAAATATTATCAAAAAATAATGTAGATGAAGAATAATATTTGTGAAGTCCGACCGACTTTTCAATCGCGAAAACAAACATCTAACGTTTATGCACTTCTCTTAAATTCCTTTCTTAAGTTGAATTATTTTAGTTTTTCGATCACCAACAACAAAAAATGTGAATAAAAAACCAACTCCTGAAAACATTGCGAAGAGTGCAAAGGTAAAAACCAGAGAGAAAAATCCTTGAGCGGAAATAAGGCTTAAAGAATAGGAAATAACGAAATAGTGGGCCTGAGTGAAAACGGAATGAAGAAAAATGCGCTAAAGCCAAAAATGCAGTAAAAACTGCTTTTGAAAAATACCACGATTCAAGTAATTTTTGCATCGGAGTTATTATTTGATTGTTGTTCCATTTAATATTATCTTTAATTTCAATCCTTATATACTCACTTGTTTTAATTGTACCTACCCTACAACCAGTCGAAGTACAGTATAAAGCAGCTTGCGCATCTGTTACCTTGTAGAACAAGCAAGGAAAAAGATATTTTTTTTATTATTATATAGATTTTGGAACCGGAACTGAACCGAAAGGGAAAATATTTTCTAAACCGGAACCAAAATTTTAAATATTGCCGTGGACCGACAGCGGAACGGAACAGTTACTTCGGTGCGGGTCCTTGGTTATGATTTCTTTCGAGATCACATTAATTTCAAAGTTATTCAGAAGACTTCGAACTTTCATCATCCAACCCCAGCCGCGTTGATTCTCCACGGTTTATAGGGGTTTTAACGGAGTTTTATCAAAATTTCTCTGTTAACTTAAGTTCAATAACGATTCTGAGTGGAAAGATATCGGAAAGCTTACATTTGAATGAAAATTGTGAGGTGGATCGGAACAGTTGATTTTATTTACTCATCGAGGCTTTTGCTTTTCTATTTTTCAGTATTATTGGAGCTACGGTCAATGTTTGAAAACAGGCCAGGGACATATTGCGCGATTTAATTAAAAGTTTGATTTACACGGAGTTCTGAAATAGACGGACGTTTTTGTATTGGTAAACGCTAATTGGAACACGATGAGATGAGCGGATTTTTTTAAATAACTTGTTGCCTTGGATGCCTCAAATTTAAAATGTTATTTAACGTTGAATGAAACCTGTCTGTCGTAAAACGTCTCACATAGAATCATTACCGGGTATAACTTTAAATCAAAATTCACGAATAATCTGGAGTTTGGAAGTTGCATCCTGTAATGGCAGAATCCAATTCAATCTCCGATGTAGAATCGCGCCAGTGATGCAGCTTTAGAAGTTCATTTATTTTTTATAATGCAACTGAACGAATAAGTTATAAGATATTCAGGAAGCATCCCACATCGGGCCCTGAAAATATTACATTTTATCAGCCAAATTAGGTCTCTAGCTTGCACCTAGCGACAGCAAATCGCATAATCTCAATCCTGCTCTAGGAATTTGTTTAAAATTTCTAACGCGCCTTCATACTACTAGTTTCAACATGTGCCAACTATCTCATGTTCCTCTTTAATCGAGCCATGGTTTCTGTTACAAATTGAATCTAACTTGAAGCTATTCGACTGAGGAAGTCAGACAAGCTGTTTTATTCAACTGAAACGCTTTGAGTAAGATAGAATAGAGCGCTTATTGGTAAAACCAAGAAAATTGCCTTTTCCTGCTTGCCAACTTTTGAGATTTTCAGTATCATTGGCTCTGCCTTCTGCATTTAATTACAAAATTTCAAAATTTTAATAATTGATTTCCATGAACATTAAAATGCAGCTATTGAAATTAACATAGTGGTTGAATGCGCATTAATTAAAGAAGGATTTTCGCCAAACTGTATAAATAGATGACAAGCATTTGATTAATTTATTTAATGAAATCCGCTCAAATTCATCCGCATTGATTATGCACCTTACTACTTAAACGCGTTATTTAATGTGGCGGCCTCCATTATTTAACTACAGTTAATTAGAGGTTTTAATTAAAACCTCGAAAACGAAAAATACATTTCATTTTTTACTGTTTTTTTTGTTTGCGCATTTCACAGAATCCAATTCTTCCGAATAGCGCATCCAATGAACTTTTTAGATTTTTAGAGCTTGTATATGTTGTTAATAATTTAAAAGGTTTTCAAAATTGCTTTCCTTTGCCTCGTGGTGCCAAAATTTCTCACATGTGAGATTCTTTGGCGAAAAATATGTGATTATCTCAACTTGCTTAAGCTTTGCTTTATCGTGCATTGAGCCAGCGAATGTTTTTTATTGGGTGACTCTCATTAGCCAATGCTACCTTACTTGAATATATCGTCTAAGCTATTTTATGTTGCAATAATGAAGATTTTTACGTTTAATGTCACTCCAGAGAAATTAGATGAGAAGGAATGGTGAGTTGCAACTACCACTATAGCACTAACGATTATTGAGTATTTCCCGTTAATTCCCAATAAATAATTTGCATTCTACATGCTTAAACAGGCCAATTTATTATTACGGCATTGACCAGAATTAGAGCAAGCTTGGTAATTTGTGTCCACTTTGGTTAATTAAAAAGCACGTCAATATATATACAGCAAGTAAAAATTGAGTCTGTAATGCAATGTAAAATTTCCGTGTAATGTTATTGACAGGCGGCTTTTCCGAGGCTGGTTTTTTAAATTGCTGTTCCCATTTCGTCTTCAATCTGCAAAGCACAGGCCAGACATAAAAATAACAGTTTTAATTACAGAAGTGGAAATGTGAAAATGAGATAAGTCATTCAAAATGTGTCTAATCACTAGAACGGACCAAATACGAGTTATCCGCTTCAGCGACATTCAGTTATATTATTCTGTTCATTCGTTTTGTTTCATATAATGCTTCGGAATGTTCGATTCAGTAAGCCTTATGTATCCAGGCCATTTCAATACGATGTTTAAAATGGGCAAATTTACTCATTGCCATGTATATTTTGACGCTCATATTACTATTAAAAAATAACTGTGGACTAATAGGGCTGAGTTCCGCACTGCATGATCGTCTGATTGAAGATTTGAGACATCAAAGATTAAAAGGCCTGCAATTTATCAAAGTCCTAAGGAAAATCAATAGATATATCGATAATCCCGTCACATAAGGAGCGATTAAATAAAAAAAATGGGAGTTATATTACTTACCGAATAGTTCAGCAAACTCTGCCATGAAAATTGAATTGAATCCACGTCATTGGGCAACAACACCACAAAATTGATCGCATAGTCGTTTACTACTCCCTTTTGTACGTAGTATAACTCGGTATTTATGCCTGGAACAATACAGTTTTTATGTGGTTTTTAGTACATAGAGCCAGGGGTGGCAATATTAATGATTGGCCAAATACCGAAATCGTTATCTTTGATTGGCAGCTCTAAAGAAAATAATCATCTTAATATTTGACGAAAAAAAAGTAATAAATCGATCCAAGAGGAAAATTTATGGATCTATATGCTCGACGACAGAAACTCAATGCTCAACTAGTATATTATTAATGGAAATCTCTATAGAGAAGTTTCTATAGCTGACGGCTATTTCCATATTTAATATCAGACGTATTGCCAATTGTGATTTCAACGGCAGTTGCTTCGATAATATGAAATTGTTGTAACACATGCATACACTGAAAATATTTACCCCGGAATTCCACCTTATTTCATGTTCAAGTCGATAAAATGGAACATGGAAATTACTGGAATGATTACTTTTTGCTTGTTACCTTAACTACGTGTATTGTGTATTTTCTAAAGCTGCTAACCAGAAGTAAATAAAACAAGCAATTTTCATTGCATTTAAACCACTCGCTATGCAATCAACTTTTTAAATATTGCGTCGAAAAGGCTCATTTGCCCACTTTGTTTCGCAAAATGAGCGGTTTCTTTGAAACTGGGGTCAGTCCCTTTTGACAAAAAAAATTATACAATTTACTACGAACTTTTTATTTATGAACTTTTGCCAAAATAATTACTTTGAAAATGGTGTAAGTCCACTTTCCTCAAAGAAATACATATAAAAAGTTCAAAATTGTACTACATCATTTCTTTAGCACATTTTTATATATTGTGTGTAACAGCATTGTAAATTACATACACATTTTTATAGTTCCCGGAATTCCGTGTTGTTTATTGAATTACTTTTATATTTATTATAGAGTATATAATTTTATATATGTAGTTTATTATAGAACATAATGTCACTGTAAGCAGTATAGTAATCTGTCGCATTTGTTCACTTATCTTCAATCTTCAAGTTTTAAATTTACGTGTTTTTTTCTGAGTTGCAAAGTCGACTCAAACATCACGCATAGAGAATTAAAAATTCGATTCAGTCATAACAACTCGAGTGAGGAAGGTGGGGGTCAATTAGTAGAAATTCACTCTTTCGTTGTCTATGAAATTAGAAAAATTATCGTTAGTCGACATAAACCCAGAAAAAAGATTCCAAAATCCAATTCGGCAAACACAAAGCTTTCAAATGTCTCCGATCCGGTGTCAAGTCGTAATTGCAATATTTGTTAATAAGCAAGCGTTTTGATGTTTCAAATTGGTTGTCGAGATGCATACATATTGATAAATTTAAATCATAATATTGCAAAATGTTGACTGGTGTTTTTATCGAGCAACGAAATTACGTGGATATTTTAGTCTGTAAATTTAGGGAGTTAATTTAGTTATTAATATAATTATTTTTCAACCGAATTATGGTTGTTTGCATAAAGTTGCAGAGTAATTCTATTAAAGACAAATATTAGGCGTTATCGGTAAACAGATGAAAATAGCTCGAAACTGTTTGTCCATAAATTTATTGCTGTTGGTTGGCTTATGCAGACATGTGTGTTCAACCAATTGATATCCAGAAGATAAATAATAAAAGCAAATCAGCATTTACTTCATTGTATTAATACCATTACAGCATGCATTTAAACAACTATTGACTATAAAATGATACGTCTGGCATTAATTTACACATTTTCGAAGCTTTTAGTTATTTTAACCGAAACTCGCTAATTCAGTTAGGCAATTCAGCCACTCGGTTCGAGTTAATATTCCATTGAATTGAACATGAACCACATTCCATGAACACACCTCTGAAGATGCTAATGATGCGTGCCAGCGAAACGTCAGAGCGAAATTCCTACCCACAATGACCCAATCGTCTCAAATTCGCGAATTCTTCAAACAATGCTTCTGAAAAGCCTTAACAATTCCGTTAATTATTTAATTATTGCTTTAATGTTGCAGTCAGCACAATGATCTGCAATTAATTTAACTTTCCCCCATTTTAAAAAATATTAAATAATTCAGTTTGTATTGAATTAGCAGCGCCACTTTACAGAATGAAATTTTATTTTCCAGTGAAACTTAAAGTGTAGCGTACTGTAAAAATTAATAACATTTCTTCCAAGCCACTGAGCGTCATAATCGCCTGTAGAGGTTTTTTTATTTCACTAGAACATTGTTGTACAAAGGGTATTTATTATGATGGTTAAATAATTACGACGATGAAAACTTCGTGCTTCCAAGCCAAATTAGAGCGAAAATTAATGGAAACTCCAGTTAAATTAAGTTCTCCATTTTCTCCTTGAGCTAATATGGAGATGCAGTTTCTTTGCTTAAGAACTTCAAGTAATCTTTGGCATAAAATGTTGGATTTCACTCGGCTGGTTTAGAAATGGCTCATGTGGTAAAAACCAACGTTTCCAATAGAATCAGAGTCAGAGAGAAAATCAGAGTTTGAGAAATTGCTTTGACCTAAACAGCGTCTTGTCATTAATAATAGAAACAAAATATTAACACAATTAACGGGCTTTCAAAGGCTTCGACCTGTAATTTTTTCCTGGTTAAGATCTTAAATTAAAAAAGTTTTATTGCCAGCAAACCTGAAAATAAAACGGCGAGAGGAACTTCGTGCAAAAACCTAAAGTTAAATTATCAGAATTTTAGTGAACCCCGGCGCTTTCTTTTAATTTTCCGGGAAGTTTCTTTGTACTTTCTTTTATTCGAGTGATATTTGCGACCAGTTTTTTGGAGGTGTTGCTCCGATCTTTTTTAACTTTTACCTCCTTATTGATTGCGGACGCCTAGCAGGGCTCGTAAAATGAACCGAATTATTTTGATTGATCGACTGGGAGAAGTTTTCCAACATATGTGATAGGTATTGATGGTGATTGCCGATTAATGGAATTAGGCCTAGTTTTTCTGAATACTTATGGAATGGCCTGAATTAAAAGAAGATCAAATCCCAACTTCAAAATTAATTCAAAACTCCCCCAAAATTTGAATATATTTTACACTTGCTGAGCCTAAAAGCAGCAGTAAATATTCACTAATATATTGATTGAACTATGTAAATTGTAAATTGAGATCACTTGAACTTTGACTAATTGAAAATTATCAAATACAAAGGCTTCGTTCTCGAGAAGAGTCGTTTATTAATTTCGGGATAGTATTTTGTAAATTAATCCTCCAGTACAACACTCCGGCTGTTGGAACAAGGATTTGATGAGAAAAGGAAAAAGTCTAGAAATGAATTGTTTTTATCACAAGAGACGGTTCGCCCTTTAGCTGAGAGCCGCAAAAAACAGTTTGTAAAAAATACCACCAGGATATTTTTTAATTACTTCCTCAACATAAATCTGCTAATTAGTCTATGGCGTATTAAGGCTGTTTTGTTCTAAAATTATTAGTAACATTCTCCGAAACATAATTTAGTAAAGTGCTTTCAAAATTCGCTTGTCAACTTTACGTTACTCATTAAAAACTTGTGATCTAAATAATGCAGAAACCACAGGTGCTATATCTAGTAAAAGGCTCAGAACATAATCTCAAACTTAAATTAAGAGCGCCGTGACCCGGTAGTGTTTTCTATGGTTTCGTCTAAAAAACTTGTTCGTTTACTTCCTCGGCGGAAATCTTACCAACAAATTCACAGTCGCAATGCTTAGCTGTTTTGCATTCATTCGGAAACTCTAAAGTTTCACTGTTTCTGAAGCTTTTATACAGGTAGAACGCACACTCTTTGCAAACAATGCATTGGATATTTTGGCATAAATTAAGCCGAATGAATATTTCATAAACTATATAATTAAAAACGGAAATAAATCTAGCTGTCGTATTGATTTGTGAAGTAATTTGTGTCTCTAAACCCCTTTTATTTCCTTAGCCATTAAGATTTGGAAACGCCGATTAAGTATGGGATCGCCAACTTAATAGATTTACCAATAAATGTTTTATTAGGTCGTTTTATGTCTGATATCGCATAGAAATTCCCTTTTCCCGGTCTTGTGTTGAATTCAAATCAAACAAAATCCAAAGCAATCGTTAACTAAGCGATAACGCTCAAACAAAATAGTCTAAGTAAGTAGTTTCCGGATCTTGAAACTTCTCCAAAGGGTTCCATAAATTTTATGTTAAGCAATACAACAGTAATCTTTTATTAGTCAGCGATATTGGTCTTTTGCAGGTTCTTTCAACAGCTTTGCGGTTTAATGAATATTTAGCCAACCCGACTGGCGTTTAGAGAAGCAATTTTGATAGAAATTGCTACATAACAGAAGCTGTTAGTATTGTTTTGGGAGTCTGTTTGCTATTTGAACGTTTCCCTTTGTAGCCCAATAAGCATTCGGGATGCCTTATTTCTAGTTATATTGAAACTATCTGAAGACATGCAATCGGGTTTTCCGATGTCCCCGTGGAATGTTTGGGGCTGACTTTTCAAGCAAATGTTTTCGAAAATCTCCTGGAAATTTCCATTCAATATATCGGCTTTAGAATAATAACACAGCTTGGCAAGAATTTCCCATAAAAGATACGATTTGTCAGGAAAGGTTTACTCTCAATTTTATGTGGGATAATTTACGAATAAGCTTCGAATGTATTTAGAATTCACTGCGCTCATCTGCGACGGTTTTATTTCCATTTTTCTCTGATTTTCAACGAATACTAGTCCGAATTGCTTCCGTTATTATTTCAAATTGGAAAAATTCTCCCTGTTCTTTGTTATTGCTGCTGCTCCCCAACTTGATTATGTTTACGCATTCGGCGTGAAAATTATTCCGAAATCATTATCATATTCAACAGGTAAGAAAGCATTTATGGAGGGAAGGAAGGCGTAATCGACATGTTAAAGATCTCCAAGCAGCGAGGAAAATGTACCTTTTTGTATTATTTCAAGAGCGGTTCGATAGACAAATTGTCGCTGCATACAGAGCGATTCAAGATCGAAGAGAGTAAATACTTCGAGTCTCCAATGTTGTTAAAAGAAGGTCTGTAG